CAATCTGGCGAGAGAGAGGAAGGAGGGCTCTGGTGGGAGGGAGGTGGGAGTCAGTCTGGCAGGATGGAGATTATGCCAGGAGGGAGGAGGGAGGCTATGGCGGAGAAGGGACTACAGCGGCAGGGAGGAGGGAGGCGATATGCCGAGAGGGTACCACATCCAAGGAGGGAGAAGGGAAGGGTACCTCGTCGAAGGAGGGAGGAGGGAAGCTATGGCGGGAGGGACGAGGGGAGGCTATGGCACAAGGAGGGAGGTGGTTGAGGGGAGGAGGGGATGGGGACCCTACGTGAAAGGAGGGAGGAGGGAGGAGGGAGAAGAGCAAGGGAGGGAGACGATCCTGTCTCTTATACACATCTAGATGTGTATAAGAGACAGGGAGGGAGGAGGGAGGAGGGAGGAGGGAGGAGGGAGGAGGAAGGCTATGCTGGAGGAGGGAGGGAGCCTATGGTGGACGGGGGGAGTGGGAGGTGATGAAAAACGGAGAGGAAGGAAGCAATGGAGAGGAGGGGAGGGAGAGGAAGGTTATGGCCGGAGGGATGACTATAGCGGGTTGGAGCAGGGAGGCGAGCTGGCAGGACGAAAGAGGGAGTTGGTCTGCGGCGAGGGAGGAGGAGGGAGGGTACCACGTCAAAGGAGGGAAGGCAGAGGGCTAAGGCATTGTCCATTGGGTAAAATCAAAACGAAATGAACCCGCTAGACTGCACGCGAAGAAGGTAGAAAGGAAGGAGGGAAGGCAGAGGGCTAAGGAAGGAAAGATGGAGGGAGGTCCGCGAGAGGAGGAAGGGCGGGAAGGGGGGTCGAGAGGGAACGCCCAAGGGAGGAAGGAGGGAGGGAGAAGTGGCGGCCGATGAAAGGAAGAATGGAGGGAGAAACGATGGCAGAGGGAGAAGGAATGGCCGAGGAAGGAATGAGCGAGAGAGGAGGGAGGGCGGAGGAGGGAGGGCGGAGGAGGGAGGGCGGAGGAGGGAGGGCGGAGGGGCGAGGGCGGAGGGGCGAGGGAGGAGGCAGGGAGGAGGTCAGGCGCAGGTGGATAGGAGAAGGAATGTGGAGGGAGGAGGGAGGTATAGGAGAAGGAATGTGGAGGGAGGAGGGAGGTAGGAGATAGGGCGGAGATGAGGAGGTCAAACGGAGATCAGGCGGAGATCAGGCCGAGATCAGGCGGCCGAAATTAGGAGAGACTCACTTTACTCAGCCATGCCGACAAGCCCTATTTCGAGCATGATTTAGCAGAGCCATCCAAGTTCCACGAAAGTAGACAATGCCTCAAGCACAAGTTGCAGTAAGCCACGTCGAAGTTCACGTTTCCTCAAAAGTAGATTGACTCAAGCAGACGTTGCAGTAAGCCATGTCGGAGTCCACGTACCACGCAGGAAAATTCACGTAGCACCAACCTCACGAACCTCAGGAAAATTCACGTAGCACACACCTCACGAAGCTTAGGAAAATTCACGTAGCATAGCTCGTAGCACCAACCTCATGAATCAGGTAGCACCAAGCTCGCAAATCAGGTAGGAAGCTAACGAATCAGGAAGCAACAAGTTCACTAAAGCACGTAGTGAGCGAGAGAGAGAGAGGGGGGCGAAAGAGAGGCCCAAGTCAAGTCGCCAGCACCTATGCACATCACATGTCGCACGGTGGGTCGCCTAGGCAAAGCAGCACAGTAGATCGCTAGGGGGGAGAGAGAGAGAGACCCCTGGGCCGCACTTCGGTAGCACTACGGTGGTAGGTCACATAAAGCCAGTAGGTCAGGCAGCCCAGTTAGGTCGTCGACCCCATTAGCTAGGTCTCATAAGAGAGATTGCGTGGATCTCTCGCTCCCTCTCTCTCTCCCATCTTTACACCCTCGAAAACTCTCTTGAGCTGAGACACAGCCATACCCGAGTGCCACCTTTGCAGCTCTCTCTCTCTCTCTCTCTCTCTCTCTCTCTCTCTCTCTCTCTCTCTCTCTCTCTCTCTCTCTCTCTCTCCCCACACACACACACCTCCCCCGTGATCACATCCTACGGATCTGTCTTGACGGCCATCCCAACACTAGCAGGCACCTCTCTCTCTCTCTAGCGCATGTGCATGCTATCTCCTTCCCTCCCTGTCGGCGCATGTCAGTTTGGCCGTGTGTGTGTGCGCCAGCATGCCACGGTGAACATTTGTAGCAATCTGCGAGCTCACTTAAATGATTTGGGCCTTTGTTCCAAGTATTTCCCCCACCTACTTGTTCTTCACCCCTTCACAGCCATTGCGAGGCTGACTCTCACTGGACCTTGCTCCACTACTCACCAAAGTCACACCGTAATATTTTTTGTTCTTTGCGCATGTTGAAAGTAGTGGAGCAAGGCCCTTTCTTTTTTCTTTTCTCGTTTTCTTTAATTATCGAGGCCCTTTATTTGCACGTCTCTTTCATTTTTGTGTGCCGCGTTGCAACTGCAAAAGGTCCATGCACAACGGGCCTCCTCATCCTAGGGCTTCTCCAACATATCTTGGGCCTCCGCATCCTAGGGCTTTTTTTAACATATCTCTGGACGTAATTGTGGTCAGGTGCATACAGGTGCAGCTGCACAATCTCAAGGCCATTGTCCTTCTTTGGAGATTGTACAGCCACACCTGCAGCTGACCACAATCATGTCCAGAGATAAGCTGAAAACAGCCCCAGGATGACGCGGCCCATCGTGCATGGACCTATAGCGGCTGCATGGCGGCAAAAGAAAAAACGACCATGCAGCGAAAAAGGAAAAAACAATCGTCGGACGGCTTGAACAATCACGCTTGGAAACAAAAGAAAAGCTTCCGACAAACTATTACAGGTCCAAAACAAGCGCCACGGCCAGAACATCAATCTTAGCCAGGCCTACAAGAAGAAACATTTACTCCCCACGACCCCTTTACCTCTCGTAGGCTCAAAACCTTCGCCCTCTCGAAAATGCACATGCATCTGACACATTCTGACACAAAAAATGCAATCGTACAATGTAGAAAACCGCAACACATCGAAGGACTCACCTCATAAACACTCCAACTAACATCCAACGGCCACAGCCGCATAGTCCGCCAGTGCACAGGACACGCGGCCATTAAGAATTGTAGTATTGGTTATAGATTAGATCAATCAACTGCTGCACCCCTTTTAGCTAGGGCCGCCAGCCAAACTGCTTGAGAGGCCAAGCCCCAAAAACTGCACCAGCATGAAAGCCACAACTCTGAAAAAATAGCTGGGAATCGTACTGGTGGTTTAAAACTGGGTGAGATCTTTTATTTCTTGTTTTCAAAAGGGGTGGACTCTAAAATGGTGTGTTTAACAGGGCTGCTAACCAGTCACTTGATGGTTATGGGGCTCATTAAATTCATTTTTTGGGAGAGCCATGGAGTTATTCCGCTTTTTTCCTTCTCTTCATGCCTTATTGTATGCCCATATAGCCATGCCCTCCCGTTGGGACTTCCACACAGATTGACCGGCCAAGACCAGTCCCGCGCATTCTATATGAAAATAGAGAAAAATCCTTTCAGCCATGGATCATTTTGGTGCTACTTTGAGTTGCACAAATGCAGCCCATGTCCGAGCTTATTCCCAAAACGAATCTGTCGGCTTTGGTGGGGTTGCGGACAGGGTAGTAGGGCTGATAGGGATTCTGTTTCCTTCTTCTACCCTTTTACTTTTGCCAAAACAGCAAAGAAATTTTGCAGCCACCCTCAGCATCCCCAGTCTATGGTCATATTCAAATTTTAGTATTTAGCCCAGCATATTTCTTTTCCAGTTTACTTTCCAAATTGAAATAATCAAAACCTTTCATTCTACACACCTTGACGGACAGGACAGAAGCTGGACCCCGACAGGCCAGCACCTGCCAGGCATCAGGTCCCGGTAAATGGTTTCATGTTTTAGTTCTTCCGCTTCTCAATTGAACTGGTGTTCTTTCGCTTCCTGTAAGTCAAATATGTTCAAATATTCTACAACATCCATTATTATCCGTTTCAAATTTTTCTCATTTGGTCTCGTAAATCGTTCTGTTCTTTAAACATCTTTTGTTTTGTCTTTTATATAAGAAGAAAAGTACAGTCTGTTTTCTCCTCATATTATTTGCTATACTTTTTTCTTCTCTCAAATTCTTCTGTATTTTCCTCACTCCAGCTACCTCCCCTGTATACTAGCAAACCCGGCACAACACCCCAAGGCAACCGAGCACAGACAACGGGCCAAGCGACAATGAACCAGGAGAACACAGGACCTTAAATTCAGTAGCTAAGCCTAGGCTATCCTAAGGTTATGGGTCTACATGCTCTCTACACCCCAGCCTTACATAACTCTGCTCTTCGCGGGAAGCAGTACCCCAGCTCCTAACACCTGGTGCTGGCTAGAAGGTTAGAACACCACCTCCTTACAAACCAAGAGGCTCAACCCAACTTTCTCAGCTGGTGAACCCGTTGCATGCCCCCAGGAGGTCGCAGGGATGGAATGGACGACGTGGGGAATCGAACCCACAGCCTCCTGAATGCCACTTATGTGCTCAACCAACTGAGCTAGCCCTCTTGGGCCCTTTTGAACATCTTTATATTCCAACCTCAGTTCTTCTCTCTCTCTCTCTCTCTCTCTCTCTCTCTCTCTCTCTCTCTCTCTCTCTCTCTCTCTCTCTCTCTCTCTCT